ATCCCACAGTGGATTAAGACCCTGTTACTGGTCTTTGTGCTAAAATGATCCCTAAGGTACAGAATCTCAAATGATGTAGACCTTCTAAACCTGTGACCTGAAGTTTCCTCTGGGAAACCAACTCCATTGGCAGTCAGCCTGAAGAACCTCTTGGATATTGGGAGGCCTTTGCCAAAAGCTCAGAGTGGACTCCAGGTCACAGCAGTGGCCCAAGTGCAGCCCTGTGACTGGGGCATGCTGGGTGTTCCAGGCATCCGGGCATCAGCCCTGTGACTGGGGCATGCTGGGTGTTCTGGGCATCCTGGCATCCCATCAGTCCTGTGACTGGGGCATGCTGGGTGTTCGGGGCATGCTGGGTGTTCCGGGCATCCCAGCAGGCACTATATGAAACAGAACTGTTCATCATTCAACAGAATCATGGGAAATAATGAAATGTTTATTTTAGATACTGAGATTTGGTGTGGTTTTTGACAGGCAGAAAGTGATATCTTGAAGTGAGCCGCCCGCTGCTGTAATGAAACCTATGGCCCTGGCACAGTGTGCAGCTGGCAAAGACCCTTAAGCTCGGTGAAATTAGTCTTCATGGTTGTCGGGGATGAACAGAACGTGTGGCAAACCGTCACCTGTGTGGGATGTTAGCAGAGCACTGGAGGCCCCCTTTTCTAGCCACGATGATCCCGGTTTTGGGAGAAATGGATTAAGAAACATTCAGGGTTTAAGCAGGATTTAAAGGAAATATTTCCTGTCTAAAATTGTCTAGGATCCTACATAAAATGATTTTTTTTTTTATTCCTTGTTTCTGCACCCCACAGAAGGGCTTTAAAAAAGAAAAGGACCTCAGTTGCAAACATCAGACTGAGGACGACACTCCAGGGCACTCACAGTAAAGATAAGTCAGGACATGTGTAAGACCTTCAGTAGAAACCTGAAAGTAACTTAAGGCAACCCCCCCCCCCCCCACATCTTCTCAGCCAGAGGTGATGTCATAGCATCCTGGACCTGATTAAGATGGCAGGATCCTGGTCTCAAGGTGGAACTCAATTTCATGGTGGGGTGAAACTTTTGCTGGAGGGTTAGTGTGCTTTGCATGTAGAAAACATGGTAATCATTTATGACCAGAAGATTTCTAGAGCACAGCCGAGGATTTATTGTTACAGAAAAGTACGGCCTGCTTTCCCCCTTCTCCTGGGCTAGCCTGAGACTTCCTTGAGATGTAGTTTGTTTGAAGAGAGAAGTGTAGAGGTTCAAGTGTTAGCACCAGCTGCCTTACTAGTGTATGAGGACATTTTGGGCTGGCCAAAACAGTGACAGAAAAGATCCATAAGATCTCAATAAATAAACCTTTGTGAGGTTTGAACTATCAGGATACAGGGTAGAAGACAGGTAGCCAAAGCCCTTCTCCCAGACTCCCTCCCGGGTTCTTGCCCTGCTCCCTGCTGAGGCCATCTCACAGCTATCGCAATGAATATGCCCCCCCACACACACACAAACATCTCAGTGTCCTTCCTGCATGTTCAGTTTGTCTCATACACATGTGTCGTACCTTACTGTGTTAAAGCTGTAAGATCCTATAATGTCAGAAAATCAAACTCTAAATTCATTGGACTCATTTCTTTCTGAACTTCTGCTGTTTGATCTTACGAGGTGGTAATTAATTTTAACTCAACCGATTGTGTTCTTTAGCTTTCTGTGACTATGACAAAATCCTTGGGATAACCATCAGCAAAATCTGGAGTCAGGTTCCTGGAGGTCTCAGGACCTGGTCGGTGGCCCCCCGCTGCTCTGGGCCGGTGATGACTCAGCACGCCTTGGTAGGGGAATTCTATGGAGGAAGCCCAGCTTTCCATGCTGTGTCTGAGATCAGAAACCCAGATCTTTGGAGTAGCATCAAGTTCTCAGCGCATAATGACTGAATGCCATCTGATTGTTACTTGTTTATTTTCACGATTTATTTTGGAAATGATTTCAAAGTAAAAGGAGGCCTGCTGGGAAATCTAGATGCCTAACTTGAGTGGTGTTGTTCCAGTCCTGGAGACATCGGGATGGGGCTGTCGGGTGAATTCATAGGCTTTGAAGAGCTTTGATGACTTTTTAATGAGATTTAAAAGCTGAAGGAATGGGATTGGGACCATAAAATCCATTACTCTTCCTTCATTTCATTTCTTTGAAGTGATTTAGTGCATTTGTGTGTTAGAACTGGAGATCTCATTTGGCCTGAATCCTCCCCATTGTTTGCTAATATGTGGCCTGGAAAAGGTTTAGGGCACAAGCAGCATTTGCTGGCATAATGGCTCTCACTGTAAGCACGACAATTAGAAGAATCAGCGTGAGATACAGGAGGGCTTCAGACTCTTCGTGAGTCTGTAAACCGCGATGTAGGATTTAAAGACGAAGTCGGTTCAGTAGAAAACGTTTAGTGGGAAATCTTTAGCGATGAAAAGATGGTATGACATGGTATGTGACTGTGTCACTGGAAAAGTCAGAGAAAACAACACTTGGACCCTTGTTTCCGAGACTATAATAGAACTCAGTTCTGATGCAGATGCTGGGCAAAGGGCTAGGCATAGAGCTCAATAGCCCTTTCTGTAGTGTTGAGAAAACTGAGACGTGGCATAATTAGTTAGATTTGCTGAGGTCATGTGATCCGTCAAGGCTTATGGTCTGAGTTCCAGCTGTAGTTGTTTTTCCCCCCGACAGTTTTGTTACATTGGGCATCAGGTGAGTTCTTTGGGCCAGTTTGGTTTTCCCTGTTTGTAACACAGGAAGACCTCGTGTTTATCTCACTGGCTTGTTTAAGTATGAAGCAGTTTGATATAAATAAAATGTTCTTTGAAAACAGATAACCGATTAAGATATTGATTATAAACTATTTTTTATTTGATCTTATTAATAAGAACATCATCAAAGGAATCTGATGACATGGTGATTTGAGAAAAGTCCTACTAGCAAGTGTCCAGACCTCAGACATTGAGACATGATATCACCTACAAGCGTGTTGGGCCACATCTGTATATCATATATTCTCATATCCTGGCAGGTAGTGGCATTTCATCTGTACTTTAATAAATAAAGTTTGCCTGGAGATCAGAAAAGTAAACCAGTCACACTGGCCAGCCTTACAGACTAGGCAGTGGTGACACACACCTTTAGTCCCAGAATAGGCCAGAGCTGGGATTAAAGGCATGCACCGCCCAGTTTCTGTGGCAAAGGTGTGTGTTACCACTGCCTGTTCTATAAGGCTGACCAGGGTTCCTGTTTTACTCTCCGATCTTCAGGGCAAACTCTATTTATTAAAGTACAAATGGCATGCACGGCAGCAGCTTAGTCATGCCCGGTAGTGTTTTAAAAGGCAAATGGAGAAAGCTTTACCGTTCACTTCTAGTAGAATAAGCAGGGTAAAGCCTTATTTGTGCGCTTGGGATCTTGTGTGCAGTTAAGTTTATCAGCGTTTCTCCTTAGGATTATTTTATACAGTCACCATAAGTTGTGGGTTTATAAAACTTTCTGCAATGCCAAAAATATATTTGTAGTATTTAAGAGAATCTTTTGTCTAAGAACTACAGTAATAACACACTGAACATGATGTTACCTAGGACAGTAGAGCTTCCCAGTGAATTCTTTTCTGCAGTGCAGGGGGAGACTATGTTCCATGCATCAGGCCACCTTTCTCGTTTGTTTTTGTTTCTTATTTTGAGACAGGGTCTCCTTCCCTCCCCCACCTCACCCCTCTCTCTCCTCTCTCTTTCTCCCTCCCTCCCAGCTTCAGGCATCTTAGGTCCCGTGCTAGGGGTTGGACCAGGGCCTCACACATGCTAAGCACACATGCTCTACCATCGAGCTACTCCTCAGTCCCCTGGTATTTTTATCCTGCTCACTGCATGTGAATACAGTTATGTAGTCATACGTCCAGACTGCTTCCTGGGCTGCAAAACAGCCTAGGATTTCTAGGTCAATTTTAACTATTAATCTGACTTTTTGTCTAAGCAGGTGCCACACATGGCTGTATGAGCCCAAAGGAAACACTAAACACACCCAGTAATGCCACAGGACTACTGCAAAAACAAAGGGTGACTAAAAGTTTGATGTCCGTATCCTTTGCTGGCTCCTAAGTACGTGATCATTTGTTAATGGTTGATATCGTGAGAGCAAATACACATCTTCCCAACCTTCTCAAGGAGGATCCACAGACATTAAAGAATCCTTTGTATGCTCAGTTAAAGTTATTAGATGTCGTGGATGTAGTTCAGTGGCAGAGCATGTGCCTCAAGGCCCCACACTCAATTCCTATCACTGGAAAAACGATGTTAGCACTCTGAAATCTTGTTACATGTCAAGGTCATCCGTGCATATGCAGTTTCATTACCATCTGTGATTAAAGTAGATGCTGAGAATGCCTTTTGTCCGCCGCAAGATCAAACGGCATGAACACAAAGGCTGTCTGGATCTAATGATAGCAGTTGAGGGAAATACAGCCGTATCTCTAAGCCCCGTGTAAGAATGACGTCTTTTACCTTGTGACTGAACTTAGCAGGCTGAATTTTTGGAACACTGTGAATTCTTATTTGAGCAGATACATGGTTTTTAGTTGGAATAGAAATCTCATGGTTCAGTCAGCCACCTGACACATGCAAATGAGGCCGATTGCATACGTCGGGGGAGACTAACATATGTAAAGTGCTCGGAAGGGTTGTTAGAGAATTTTTAAATATAGCACACTGAGGTTTCTGCAGAAATTTCCCCAAAATCGAAAGGACGTCCAGGGAGGGGTATAGTCTGGGGCACACGGGTGGGAACTGCCTAGAGAGCCTGGCCAGGATGTGCCTTAGATGGGAGTGAACTGGTATAGTCTGGGCACACGGGTGGGAACTGCCTAGAGAGCGTGGCCAGGATGTGCCTTAGATGGGAGTGAACTGGTATGAAAGTAGGTCTCTGTGTGATGTTTAGTGGAGCCGGTCTCTGAAGAAAAAATATCTCTAAACTAATGTTTTGCTTCTTCATAGAATGAAGACAAACTCAGAGATGGTGTGTCTAAGAAACTTCAAAAGGTGTAGACCTCCTGATTGAAGCGTGCTTGATTTGATTCACTTCTTCATAACAGTGAGTATGAACACAGTGTTATTTAGGTCTGTGCTGGCTTGTAGTCTGTGAGCAGTCTCTACTCCATGTCAGATACTTTCCGTCATGGCTTGAGTTGTTGCTTCTCCCCAGTATCAGTTTGAGATATTAAATGGCTCTCAAGAACTGTAGGGGATGAAATAAGTCCATAAACTCAGGTTAGGAAAATCTTTAGAGTGGTACGGTTCACTCTTATTTTCCATTACAAAAAAATATTTCCCATTACAAGAAATTTGTAGTGTTCCTGCTGGGCAGTCATTCTATCCATGTCAACCCAGCTAAAACAGAGAGCTGAACCGTCTAAACCATCCACCTATCAGACAACCGGCCTCACATGGTAGCACATACCTATAATTCTACCAGGAATTCAAGGCCAGCCTTGGCTACATAGCAAATTTAAGCCAACTTGGGCTACATGAAACCTTTCTCCCTTCTGCTCATCTGGTTCCGCCTCTGAAACAAATCCACACATTCTTTCATCTATGAGATATATTTTTCCACTTTTTAAAGGAAACAGAACATATCTGTTTACCATAGATGAGGTACCAACAGGGCAAAGAAACTAATTCCATTCAGTCCTGCTTTATGAACCAGTGAGTTCATTGGTGTTACTGCCAGGATGTGGTGATATTTTGTTTGTGATCTAACAAATAAAGCTTTCCTGAGGATCAGAGGGTGGAGCTAGCCAGAACTAGTTAGCCTTAGAGACCTGGCCGCCTTGCCACACACCTTTAATCTCAGCACTCAAAAGGCAGACAGATCTCTGTGAGTTCTAGGTCACCCTGGGCTACACTAGATTGATCCAGTCTCAAAGAGAAACAGAGCCCAGCAGTAGCGGCTCACACCTTTAATCCTAATACTTGGGAGTCTCACGCCTTTAATCCCAGCACTAGGGAAGTGGAGACAGGAGGGATATGGCAGGGAGGAGAGGAATATAAAATGGGAGAGACAGGAGCTCAGTGCATTCAGTCTGAGGATTCAGCGGAGGTAAGAACTAGTGACTGGCTGCTCTGCTTCTCTGATCTTTTAGCATTAACCCCTATGCCTAACTCCAGGTTTTCATTATTAAGAACAGTTGGAATTCATGCTGTACTGTGTCATGCTCACAGGATAGCATTTCTGCCGTTCTTCTCATCTTCTGGCTCCTCTACTCTTTCCACCCCTCTTCCATGCTGTCTAAGAGTTAGAGGGCTGGTATGGGCATCCTGTTTAGGGTTAGCACTCAAGTGTCTCATTTGTGAAGCAGAGCTTGCTCAGAAAGGCTCTTTGTGGTGGTTGAAATAATTCTTAGGTGGTAAACAACACTCCAGACATGGGTTCTGTCTGGAGAGGGGCTTATATGGGGTCTTAGGGGTTAGGACATGTAAGAACAGCTAACCCAGACTTGGAGTTAAGATCCAGGAGGTAACTAAAGAGCTGCCTTGAAGCTGCCCCCAACATCCTTTATAGATGTGTCACCAAATGGTCCCTAAACTTAATGGTTGAGTGTGATTTAGGTTGGGGATGTAACCAGAAACCTTACACACCCATTAATTAGTCCTTCCTTCTGAGTTTTACCTCGGCTAAAATCCTGCCAGGTATAGAGTGTACAAGATTAGGATTAAATGCACGCACTGTGGCCCCATGTGGTGGTGCATACATGTAAGCCTGGCCTAGGAAGGTAGAAACAGGAAGACTGGGAGCTTAAGGAGAAAGCCTCAGCTACATAGTCAGTTTGAAGCCAGCCTGGGCTACATGAGACCCTGTCTGAAAATAAAGACAAAAAGGTATGCCAGCACGGCCTCAGCAGAGTTTCTTTTCTTCCTCCTCCAGTTCCTTTTCTCTACAAGGGAGTCATGATCACACTAACAGAGCTAAAGTACTTAGCAGACGCCCAGTCAACCTATCACATCCTGAAGCCATGGTGGGACGTCTTCTGGTATTACCTCACCCTCATCATGCTGCTGGTGGCCGTTCTGGCTGGCGCGCTGCAGCTAACCCAGAGCAGGGTCCTGTGTTGTCTTCCCTGCAAGGTGGAGTTTGACAACCACTGTGCCGTGCCTTGGGACCTGCTGAAAGCCAGCGAGAACGCGTCCTCTAACTCGGGCGTGCCGCTGGCACTGCCGCTACGCATCCAGAACGACCTCCACCGGCAGCAGTACTCCTACATCGACGCCGTCTGCTACGAGAAGCAGCTCCACTGGTTCGCCAAGTTCTTCCCCTACCTGGTGCTTCTGCACACGCTCATCTTCGCAGCCTGCAGCAACTTCTGGCTCCACTACCCCAGCACCAGCTCCAGGTTGGAGCACTTCGTGGCCATCCTTCACAAGTGCTTCGATTCCCCGTGGACCACACGTGCCCTGTCGGAAACCGTGGCCGAACAGTCAGTGAGGCCCCTGAAACGCTCCAAGTCCAAAACCTTGCTCTCAACCTCGGGGGGTTCTGCCGACGTTGATGCCAGCAAGCAATCATCACCCCACCCACAGCCAGGCCTGGAGTCACCAGGCATAGAAAGTCCGACTTCCAGCGTCTTGGACAAGAAGGAGGGTGAACAGGCCAAAGCCATCTTTGAGAAAGTGAAGAGGTTCCGTCTGCACGTGGAACAGAGGGACATCATTTATCGGGTGTACCTGAAGCAGATAATCGTCAAAGTCATCTTGTTTGTCCTCATTATAAGTTACGTTCCATACTTTTTAAGCTGTATAACTCTTGAAATCGACTGCTTGATCGATGTGCAAGCGTTCACAGGCTATAAGCGCTACCAGTGTGTCTACTCCTTGGCAGAGATCTTTAAAGTCCTGGCTTCGTTTTACGTCGTTTTGGTGATCCTTTACGGCCTGACCTCCTCCTATAGCTTGTGGTGGATGCTGAGGAGCTCTTTGAAGCAGTATTCCTTTGAGGCACTCAGAGAGAAAAGCAACTACAGTGACATCCCCGACGTCAAGAATGACTTTGCCTTCATCCTGCATCTGGCCGACCAGTACGACCCTCTGTACTCGAAACGCTTCTCCATCTTCCTGTCAGAGGTCAGCGAGAACAAGCTGAAGCAGATCAACCTCAACAACGAGTGGACCGTGGAGAAACTGAAAAGCAAGCTCGTGAAAAACTCCCAGGACAAGGTGGAGCTGCATCTCTTCATGCTCAGCGGCCTTCCCGATAACGTCTTTGAGTTAACAGAGATGGAGGTGCTGAGCCTGGAACTCATCCCTGAGGTCAAGCTGCCGGCCACCGTCTCTCAGCTTGTCAATCTCAGGGAACTTCACATATACCATTCATCCCTGGTCGTCGACCATCCTGCCCTGACCTTCCTCGAGGAGAACTTGAAAATTCTCCGCCTGAAATTTACCGAAATGGGCAAGATCCCTCGCTGGGTGTTCCACCTGAAGAACCTCAAGGAGCTGTACCTGTCAGGCTGCGTTCTCCCGGAGCATGTGAGCACCACGCAGCTGGAGGGCTTTCAGGACTTGAAGAACCTGAGGACCCTCTACCTGAAGAGCAGCCTGTCCCGCATCCCCCACGTGGTGACGGACCTGCTGCCCTCCTTGCAGAAGCTGTCCCTCGATAACGACGGAAGCAAACTGGTTGTTCTGAACAACTTGAAGAAGATGGTCCACCTGAAAAGCCTGGAGCTCCTCAGCTGCGATCTTGAACGCATTCCACACTCCATTTTCAGCCTGAACAACCTGCATGAGCTGGACCTGAAGGAAAACAACCTGAAGACAGTGGAGGAGATCATCAGCTTCCAACACCTTCCCAGCCTTTCCTGCTTGAAGCTCTGGCACAACAACATCGCTTACATCCCTGCCCAGATTGGGGCGCTGTCCAACCTCGAGCAGCTCTTCCTGGATCACAATAACATCGAGAGCCTGCCCTTGCAGCTCTTCCTATGCACCAAACTGCACTACTTGGATCTAAGCTATAACCATCTGACCTTCATTCCAGAGGAGATCCAGTACCTGACCAACCTGCAGTACTTCGCTGTGACCAACAACAACGTGAGTAAATTTGTCCTTGCTTATGCCGAGCTTGCTGTCATAGGGAAAATCAATGGACTGGGCCTGTACTAAGCATGCTCCCGTCACAGCCTCATTGCCTGTGGTCTTGATAAATTACCAAAGTCCTGGGTATTAGATTCTCACCTCACAAATTAGCGTGGAGATTCTGTGAACACGTAGGCATTGGCATAGTTCCTAACCCATAATAGTTGCTCAACAAATGTTCTCTGTATTCTCTGTACAGACATCACAGTTAAAGCCTTAAACTCACTGATTAGTGATGGTAGAGCTGACTTGTGTTTGCTGAGGTCCTGAGTACTTAGAAAGCTTGGTAAATTTTTCATTTTACCAAGAATAGCCTTTTTAAACGGATGGAATTATGAATTATTCATAAATTCTTTTTGTTATGCTTTAAGAAAAAAAATACTTGCAATACGTACATCTAAAAAGACAATTTGAAATGAAAGGCCTGGCTCCATAATGCGACACTAGGGTCTCCTGGAGTCTTTTTCTAGCTTCCATGCTTTACAATGCACCATTATTTGCAACACTTAAGGAAAATGGAACTTCACAGAAACAAGAAAAAAGCGAGTAGCTTCCTGGGCTAAAATATGAAGTAGGACAAAGGGGAGAAACTCTTGCTAGTCTGATAGGCCAAAGGATGAAGGTAATGTATACGTGAGAGAGGAGAGCCAAAGCGCAGTTCTCCAGAGAATGGCCTGGCCTCTCCATGCTGCTCTCTCCCAACGCATCCCAAAATATGTTTCTCCTACACTTATATTTGGACAGCATGAATATTAAAAAGATGCCAGAAAATGGAGATGAGAAGGAAGCTCATCTTACTTTTTTTAGAATGCTGAGACTCATACATAAAAGAAGTATGCCCGGCCCATGGCAAATGAGAAATCCCTCAACCTGAGGGTTTAAAATCAAAATAGGACCAATTTGGACCAGTGATATATATGAGAATTACCTGAAGAGCCTGTTTAAATACACATTCCAGGACAGCTCTCTGCCAGTAAGTACACACAGACATAAACATGTACACACACAGACACACACGCATGCACACAGGCACACAGACACACATAGGCACATAAAGTTTCAGACTTGAGTAGGTCCAGTGGAAGACACTCTAGTTGGTATATCTGAAGTTTCTGGATGCTGATGCTGACCTGGTGCCCAAATAGAAAATCACAAATCTAAAGGTTTATCTTCAGTGTCATCTTACTATGATGTTGAGTGATAAGCTAGTTTGGGTTTCATTTTTCCATTGTTACAACTAGAGTAAGACATGTGAACAATTGTTTGGGAAAGCACTGATTCTATTTGTGATATGGTGACGTCACCACACAAGTGTTGGGACTGTTTAGCTGGCCATGCCTTACTTAGATGAACAAGTGAGACTTTTTGGCAGGTAAACCTAAAGAAACCTTAAGACCATTGGTGCTTCTTTTGAAGGTAGGATTGTAGCAGGCTTTCTTGGACCACCAGCCCCCAACATGACACAGAGTCTTACTATTAGTTACGAAAGCTAGGCCTTAGTTTGGGCTTGTCCCACCAGCTCTTACAACTCATTTTAACCTGTTTCCCTTCATCTACATTGTCTCAGGGCTTTTCACCTTTCTTCCTTCTTTACTGGCATCTCCCTCTCTTTCTCCTTTCTTTTCTCTCTGCCCACCAGCCCCATATATCCCTCTACTGCCTTGCTATTGGTTGTTCAGCTTTTTATTAGATCAGTCAGGTACCTTAGAAAGGCAAGGTAAAACAAATGCAACACATCTTCACATAGTTAAAACAGATACAGCGTAAACAAATGTGATACATCTTTATATACTTAGACAAACGCAGCGTAAACAAATGTGATACATCTTTATATACTTAGACAAATGCAGCATAAACAAATGTAACACACCTTTGCCTAATTAAACATTTATAATCAGATGGCAGTTGGGTAGAAAAAAGCCACACATGGTTTTTTTTTTTTAATTAAAAAAGTTGCAGCTTTTAAACAGCTGGTTTATGCTTTTCAAGACATGATTAGGCAAATTAAGACCCTTAGTCCCTTTGATGCCAAGTTTTTTTGACTTGATGGCTGTATCTGAAAGAGAACTCAGACTTTTGATGTCAGACAAGTGCTACCACAAGTACGGGAAGATAGGTTATAGCATCAGGAAGTCTTAGGCCAAACACGTCATGGCCAAGTAGAATCGTATGTCCTTGTGCGCCTTGTCTCGGACACCTGAGCATCTCAGAGTGAACAGGACACCTAGAAATAAGTAGGAGCACTCTCCCTGGAGTGCCGTCAAAGAAAAGAGCCTGAGGTAGCGAGAGAGAAGGAAAGTTCCAAGAAAGTGGGTCCCCTTCGATCCCCCCCGCCACACTGCCATGTCATGGATATGCATGCAGGAACCCTAGTTAAAGGCAGTAGGTCACAACAGAGAGGTGGTACGAGGGCTCAGCAGGTACAGGCTCCTGCCACCAAGCCTGAAAACCTGAGTTTGAGCCCCAGAGCCCTTGTGGTGGAAGGAAAGATGCAGACTTCCTACAAGTTGTTGTCTGATCAACACACTGTGTGACTTACATGCACCCACTCGCATAAATACACACAATCAATCAATGGTACAAAAGTAGGGGACTTAGAAAAGGTGGTTCCATGGAAAAGTGAAGAGGTTAAAGAGGATAATGGGTGGGACTTTCATCAGAGAAGAGTGTGTGTTTGAAATCATGAAAGGATAAATACTTTAAAAAAAATACTGTTTTAAAAAAGAAATTACCCACCGATGGAGCAGTGTGACCTGGCACTGGACAGTCATCGGGAGGCAGAGAGAATATTCTTCAGTATTAGCGTTCAAGATTTTGAACAGCCGGGTGATGGTGGCGCACGCCTTTAATCCCAGCACTCAGGACGCAGAGGCAGGCGGATCTCTGTGAGTTCGAGACCAGCCTGGTCTACAGAACTAGTTCCAGGACAGGCTCCAAAGCCACAGAGAAACCTTGTCTCGAAGAAAAAAAAAAAAAGATTTTGAACAAATCTTGCTGTCGACAGCCACAAGTGTGAGAACAGAGCAGCCAAGATAAGACTTCTCATCTGGTCACACAGTCCCCAGAGACTGGATGTGCATTTGGCATGAAAAAGGAGCTGACATATGCCGAATCTGTCCCGGCTTCTTATCAGCCAGTCACTGCAGTCGTTGTTAAAGAAACTTGGGGATTCATGTTTCATGTGGAGATGCAGGTGTCTAGGTACCATCTGATCTTGAAGTTCTCATGGTTCTGCAAGGGAAGCTAAAATATTTATGAAAACAATAAGCATTCATAAATATGTATTATAAATATAAATAAGATGCCAGTTAGAATAACAAGTATCTCATAGTATCACTGGAAAATTAAGTCTGCAAAATGAAACCCGGCGGACAGTCAAGAATAAAAGTAAGGCAGACTTCAGGGAAGAGACCAGAGCCGAGATGAAGCTCAGAGGAACACTGCTGACAGCACTCTCGCGTCCATGCTGGGCCTGGACACCGTACTGCATCTGGACACTCTACACAGAGGTCCCCTGTCATTGTCCTTTCCCTGTGACAGCCTCAGTTCCAAGCCCAAATGTGAGCATCTAATTCTCTCTTCCGGGATGTTCCAGTCTCAAGATGCAGGAGACCTAGGGACACGAGAATCTGGTAGTGGTGTGTTGACCGAGATTTCTGTCCTTCCCGGTCCCACAGTCAGTCAGTCCCAAAGAAATACACAGAGGTCTACATTAATTGTAAACTGACTGGCCTATTAGCTCAGGCTTCTTATTAACTCTTATAACTTATATTAACCCATAATTCTTGTCTGTGTTAGCCACGTGGCTTGGTACCTTTTTTGGCAAGGCAGTCACATCTTGGCTTGCTCTGTGTCTGGCTTCCTCTGTCTCTGGGTGACAACTACTGACTGAATCTTTCCTTTGCCCTGCCTCTACTTCCTGCCTGGCTACTGGCCAATCAGCGTTTATTTAAAATACAAGTGACAGGGTAGAGACCATTGTCCCACAGCAGTTTTGCTTCCCCCAAAGCCATGAATAGAGTCCTCAAATCAGGGCAGTCCTCAGGGGACCAGTGTTCATGACAGAGCCCTCAGCACAGAATTCTCATGGAAAACATCCATGGTTTCTCTTTGACAGAGCCCTCAGCACAGAATTCTCATAGAAAACATCCATGGTTTCTCTTTGGATCGTGTTCTCACCCACAGATTGCTCCGTGCCTTTAATGTGTGAATACACACTTGCTTCTCCAAGAGGAGACTGGATTTGACATGTGTTTGAGCAAGATATTTTTCTCTTAGGAACTTGTGGGAAGATGAAACTCACCTTAATAACTAATATAAAAATATAGAAGTCATGTATGGTTCAACCTAAAGGGGTGTCTTCAAAGAATTGTGTATAGTTTTAGGAACTGCTTTTGAAAATAAGATATCACGTGCTCTAGATTTACACCATGAAGTGACCATGAACCCTCCCCGCCTCTGTGTCGTGCTGGGGTTACAGACACACACTACCACACCCCGTTTATGCCCAGCTAGAGGGCTTCATACATGCTAGACAAGCACCCCAACACCCAAATCACATCTCCAGCCCCAGAATCATCCATAACGTGTACTGTTCCAAATGTGTTTGGTGTTATGAACTGAAAGGTAAATATTTTTTAATGTAAATAGTTTAGTTCGGGATAGAATTAGTAGATTAAGTAGGTTAAGTTAGGATGCTGCACCTCAGCTAGGCCCTGGTCTGGACAGAGAGAGCCCTTTAGATAACTACCAGCTCTAACCACAGTGGCTCAGAATCAGAGGGCCTGGTAACCCCTGGCGTGGGCCTAGCCCCAGAGACTCTGTCCACCTCTCGGGCAGTCCATCCCCTACCGAGGACACAAATCCAGAACTGTGGAAGAAGAGTGGTGATCTAGTGGCACAGACAGGAGAGTGGTAAGGGCAGTTGCTTCCAGACAGCACCTAGGGGAAAAGTGGTCTAGCTGCATAGTTGGTGGCCAGGTGGAGTTGGAGGCAGAAGTGGACTCTGGGGTTCCCGGATGTGGCGGGGGCTGGACTGCAGTCTTTACTACTTGGGATACATGTATTCTTGGTTTAGTAATCATACCAGACAATATGATTCTCCGGACAGTATTACCCCACTGGAGGTGATTTTGTCCCCTGAAGAAACATTGGCTGAAGATAATTCGGGGTTGTTAAAACCAGGAATGAGAGTGTTACTGACAGCTAGGGATGAAGGCGAAGAAGGCCGCTAAACATTACAAGGTACAGCACAGCCCCACAGCCAGAATTGTCCCACCCAAAATGTCTACAGCTTGGGGGCTGTTTTCATGCAGCCTGCCTCTGACAGAAAGCTTAAGGCCTTGTGTGATGCTCAGCACTTCATGCCCAGCACTTCATGCCCAGTGCCTGGAAGCCATTCAGAACAGTCTCATGAATGCCAGGGAGCCGTGCCATGCCTTCCCTCTCTTCGGATGTCTCCCATGTCCCAGCTGAGCATGCCTATGTAAGACCCAACGTCTGAGCGACGAGGAGTGGCTTCCAAAGCAGCTCCCTGTGTGCCTTTCTATTCCGCCTGCCTTTTTCAATATTGAATCCACATAGGTAATGATTTACATCTGTGCTTGAGAAAAAATGCAATAAGCGTGCATATTTTCCTTTGCTTATTAGTTTTAGTGTGGGAGTGATCAATACTGAGCTTTGGTCATAGAAATGGTGAACTTTAGGTCTGTTTTCAAGGATAAACAGGGCTGAAAGGGGAGGGGACTTGTGGAAGAGGGAAGTTACAATTGAGCATTTTTAATGCAACTTTGCAATTTTGGATTTCTATGGAAAGAATCCTTTGGAGGAGAGCTGGTTCAGTGGGTTTGCATTAGGCCATCAGAGAACGCTCTAAAGGCCCCTTAGTGCCCTGCATCCAGACCCAACACAAGTGAACTTTCTAGTACATGGATGCCCCTCCCTCCTAAGGCCCCTGGGTGGAGCGATGGCTTGAGGGGGGATGGTACATGCTCAGCATCTTCCTTGGAGGTCTCATGCTGAATCCATTTCATTGCCCATGCAAAGACCCCGTTCATCATGCAGGAAGCTGAGCTCTCAGCTGGAGCTGCTCTCCAGTTGCGGGCAATTTACCATATTTAACCTCACCTGAGTGTTACGTGTGTCCTTTCATGGATGTGAGGGCGTAGGAAGAAGGGTAGGAACCCAGGAGTGTGTGTCTGTGGAGGTGTGAAGTGGATGTGCTTATATCACCCGTTTGTTTCCATCTCTGCCCTGTAGACTACGGTGTATAAAATGTGAAGGCTCGTTCTCTAAGCAAAGCAGTATAGGAAATAGCCTTGCCTGCCGCTCTCAGGAGGCCCTGGGTGTTGCTCACTGATTAGCATGGCATGATCTTTATGAGGGCTCTGGAGAGTAATTTATTTCTGATCCAGGACTGAGTAATTACCGTTCTCCTGGGGTTTACTGGCTTGTTTTCTTTAATCTGAGAAACGCTGAATGTGTAAGTACTTTCTCTTTAAGGATCACGTTGAGCGTTCAGAACCAGGTTGGTTGTCTACCCACACTCAAGAGTGTAGATGCTCAGGGGCCGTAGTTGCCTTGGCTACACATACCCACGCTGTCCTTTCTCTTTTGCCTGCCCCTCAGATTTATAGCCAATGTGATATCTTTTCCTGTGGGCCTGCAGGCATGTTTTTGAAGAAAGGTAATGGAAGTGCATGAATTACTTTTGGAGCCAGTCAAAACCGGTTTCACCTGCTTCCCTTCTCCTTGTAGATCGAGATGCTACCAGACGGGCTGTTCCAGTGCAAGAAGCTCCAGTGTCTGCTTCTGGGGAGAAACAGCCTGACAGATCTGTCCCCTCTGGTGGGCGAGCTGTCCAACCTCACCCACCTAGAGCTCATCGGAAACTACCTGGAGACGCTGCCTCCGGAACTGGAAGGCTGCCAATCCCTGAAGCGAAGCTGTCTGATTGTTGAGGACAGTTTGCTCAACACCCTCCCACTCCCTGTGACAGAACGTTTGCAGACGTGCTTAGATAAATGTTGACCTAGGGATCAGACCCACGGCGAAAGCGCTTTTCAAGTGAGGCCCCAGGGCTTAAAGGTAAATGATCTCTCCTGAGTTAGGAAGATGAAATTGGCTGATGGTTATGACACACCATAACCAAAAATCTTACCAAATTATCCGGTGTCTAAAGCAAGTGGGGAAAAGATGCCGACACTGGAGTGTGGGGAATAACTGACCTTTAAATTATTTAAGATATTGTAAGAAAAAGTATACACTGAGGTGGACTGAGAGGCATGCAGTTAGGGAAGCTTTGCCTTTCCAGTCTGTATCTCTTTTCTCTCCTTTCAGCCCGTTCCTATTCACACACTTGTTTTCCTGGCTTTCTAGTTTTGATATTTATCTCCAAACCCATAAAGATTCATCAGCATCAACGTCCTTGCTGTATGCTCACCATTGGCTTTGATTTATAGTCTTCCATTTGTTAGCAGGGTGTGTGTGCTTGGCTTACTCCCCACTTCCTTTCTCATTTGCTGGAATCTTCTGGTTTTCCCCGAACATCCCTGGGAGAATGCTCGCCTTGGCACGCGCCTACGACCAGGAGCCAGGGTTCTGAGGACGTGTGACCCTCTGAGCAGCCTAGAAATTAACGGGTTCTCAAAATTGTCTTCTTGTCTGTCATCCAAGCCTTTTTAAAATATGTTAAGAATTTTTTATATGAAGTGTAACATTTTCTACTGTATGATCTCAGATCTCCATCTCTGAGGATACTTTATAAGGTACAGTGAGCATGTGCGTCTCTATAAGAATTTCCTGATTCTGGATTTGAGCCGATTATAATTCTCATGTTTGTATGCATTCTGCTCTCAAAAGGTTTTGTACCCTGCAACTAATTACTTTTGGATGACAAAACCTTGTTTTTCCCTCCTAAAGTCTCTGAGGGGTTTCCCTGGGAGAGGACAGCTGCATCTTTTACCTCTCCTTGGTGTTGTGCATCCAACCATACGGGTAGGCATCTCAGTTACTTACAAACTGCTGGAGGGGAGAGGGCAGGATCTGGACTGGAAAGTACTCTGTAGAACAAAGCTGCAGGGCGCCCCAGCATCTACACGGTCTCCCGGTGTGGCTATGATGGAAGCTGTCTATTCTCCAACTAACTGAGCTCATTGACCTGGCATCCATGCCTCTTAACTCCTGAGATAAATCTTGCTCCTTTTGACTGAGAACTTTGGGTCTGGCCCTTTATTATCGTGCACATCACTGAATAAATAATGCGGACTGGCTCGCTTTGGAGAAATGAACACCGCAGTGTGTTTTTCTCTGTTGGGTCTAGGCATTATGAACCCACCTCTCTTTGGACATTCACTAAGTAGCCCATTAACTGCATCTACACAAAACTGGGAAACACTATGGAACAGGAATCTTCTAAACACGGAACTGTGCCGTGTAGTTTTCCTCTTGATTTGTTCGAAATGCCTCTTCTCTTAGCTACCACATATGCCTGACATTCAGAGAAAAGAATTGCACAGAGGAAACTCAAGTACGGTTAGATACAAAAAATAGATAGAAGGCCCAAAAGCTGCCTAACGCACTATGGTTGGCAAGGAACAGACTAAAAATAGACAAATAGACATTTTTAACAAAGCTTGCCTTCTTTAGAACGGCCAAGCTGAGAGTCTCAGGGAACTGGGCATGACAAGGGCAGCTCTCTCTAGGACCCCACAGACTGGTCCTGGTATAGCCAGGGTTTTCTTATTTTTACTTTTTGAAAAAGTTAGTTGATGATAAATGTTCTGCTGTAGAATCATCACATGGACCAATTCCAAAGTTAGCTGGAATTTTCTCAAGTTTTGAACATAAATGTTTTATGTGAGGGAGGTTTCAATATTGTCAACCATACTTCATATGAAAAAGAAATCCTACCCTCTTTGTAGAAAAGAAATTCAAAACACAGTTCAGATTTTCTAACCTTTACCTGACAAGAGAGAACATCCCCATGCCTTGCTTACCAGTGCAAGCATCGCCTACCTCCTCAGAGAAATTCCCTGGGAGAATCAAACATGAGGTACAAGTCCTTTTCCCACACTAGGCTGTACTGCTGGAAACCATGTAGCTCTTGATACCACTGTTCTGAGGTGTCTTTTGTATTTGATGCTTAGGCAACAACGTTGAAGTAGCTTTTCAAGCTAACGCACACTAAGGCAATGAACAACCCTCCCATCCGACTGATGGAGATCTGTGTTAGCTCTGGCTTCGCTGCCCTTTGTTGAGAGTCACCTCATACCTAAGAGAATTGTAAATGAAGAAAATAAAATCTCCAAATTATCGTGAGACTTTCCAAAACCCAAACATCAAGGATCGACAGCAGAATTTTGGCTTATAGTATGATGGATGGGCTCATGTCACTTGCGTCCACACCACAGTATAGACAGACACACGTCTCATGTTTGTAAATTTCACTTAGGTTAGTCTAAGAATAGTCACTTTTTAAAAATTCATTACTTTAATCATGAGGTATTCACTTTCCTTCATTATGGTATTTAAAACCAAACACTACCTTGGTTTGCAAAGGCGTGTGTGTTCCCCCAAGTTGGAGCTTTTCCATCACCTAGGTCAGGGTGGGTCTCTGCAGTATATTGATGCTGCGTTTTCATTTAATCTCCTGTGTGTCACCAGATTCCTCTGTTAATGAAAAGCAGGTTGAATCAGGGTACATGAAAACCTTGGGGTCTCAGTGATGTGGCAAGCTCTACTTGGTCTGCTTCAGTGTGCTAATGCAACTTATGTATATAACGTTATTCCTTGATGGTGAAATGGTTCTGCTCATGTTTTATAATTCAGATGTCATGTTTAATTAAAATATTACATTAATATTGATGAGTTCATTAAAATTAGCCAAACCCTTTTTTCTGTAGACTTGACATGATTTCCCTGTATTTTCAGTAAAATGACCTTCCCATCTTTATATTTGATTCGTGCTGGTCCATCCACACAGGGTGCGTTCGTCTTCACCACCTCACTGTAGAGAAGCCGTGTATTTGTGCGGTAGCAATTGCAGCAACATCAAGCATGCTCAGGCCTTCGTTCCTGCTGTAAGAATCCAGCTTCTGGTCCCTTTGGTTTCATTGATGACATACTGCATTGGAATCTGTATTAGTTTCTAGAGAGTGAAAGATCAATTATAGAGAGAAAGGAAGGCTTATTTTGCATCCTGGAGGGGGGAAATGCATAAATTTAGACAGTGTAAACAAGCAACTCCTGCAGAATGTTCTGGGTGTGGCTGAGGCTGTCTTTACCTGTGTGATGTGGGAAAGCTGCAGAAGGCCCCCTCCCTGTCTCTTACCCGCAGCTTCAATGTCCAGGGACAAGTCTACTATGGACTTCATAACTATAATCTCTTCAGCTTTTTTTTTTAAAAAAAATGTATGCACAATTTCATCGACATGGAAGTATTAACAGATTATATGAGTCAAAGTACTGAGTTGAGATGGCTTCTCATCGAACTTAATTTCATACAAGTTTTGAATCTAACACAAAATACACCATAGCTGAGAAAAACGATTTTGAATGCCTTCTGCATGTTCATCATTTCAACAGACCTGGTGCAGTTTTTAAAATACAAGAGGTATAGCGTTAGAATGGGCTTGGCCTGTGCTTGCATCTGTCACGTGTCAGTCTTTATTATAACACTGCACAGTAAGACCTACAGTTCTGTGCTCCGTTCTAATAAACAATGGGCTGATCTCGAGTGGAGACTCTTTTGTTGGCGTCCAGTGAAGGCTAGCATTTGTTACTTTATCTTTGCCATATATTCGGAAATGTATATCTGGGTTTTGTTTCCAGAATGAATTACTAGAAAATGTAAAATTGCGTTCAATGTTTTTGGCTCCATTCTGTAGATCTGGGTAAAATCTGCTGTTTTTAAAGTATCTTTTGTGTAAAAGGATTCGATTTTTATAATAAATGGCAAATAAATGATTCAGTGGAAACCAAGCGGCCTCCGTTTTGCCTGTTTTTCTGTTGGTGCTCAGCAGCCAGCGGTCATCTCTCACTTCTCATGCGGTGTGCTGTTATGTACTGACAGTGGATTTCAGATTTACAGGCAAATTTCAGTGGCTGGGTTTTCTGAGTGTGCAGCAGTGGGCGCTGAATAGCCAGCCTTGGACTGGGGGTGAGCTAGCAGTGGTATGTACAGAGATGGGAGGAAGTGCACTGTGCCCATCTGTGCTGACTGTGCAAACCATGCCGCTCCCACCTCCCCCCAGAAGTTCCAGGGGCTCAGAAACCAGCCCTGCCTCCCGCCCTTCCTGCTGGCACCTGTTCCTTCATGCGCTGCTAACACCAGAGCTGAACAGTGTACCCGATAAATGAACTCTTAAGTAACTGTTAAACGGTTCTCAGCAGGCTTAGTGAAGGGAGAGAAAACTGAGTACAAGACAAAATAGGCGTGTGATAATTTGATGTTTGGAATCAAATACTTTCTTAACGGGACTGGGAAAAGGCTGAACAGGTAAAACACGTCCTGCGATCCGAGCATGTGAGGGCCTAGGTGTGGGTTCCCAGCATCCAAGTAAAGCCACGTCTGTAATCCCGTGCTCTTACAGCTAGATGGGAGGGGCAGTAGGAGAATGCCCAGAAGTTCACGGGGACTTGGGAAACCTGAAGACCTCTGGCCTTCACACTCTAGCCCGCGCGTGAGTACCCCTACGCGCATGCGCACACAGACCCTCGATAAGGTCTTACTCTGTTACGTGAGTGCACTCACACCTCTTAGAAAGCTGGCAGAGGAACTCATCTTTGTCAGAAGTGAATCCTGAACCACAATACAAACTAAAGTATCCGGGGTCATATACAGCCTCCGGCCTTGGGCTCCCCTAAGTGTGTAGGAATGGGAAACGCATCTTACCGCGGCAGTCATGGGTGCCACAGGCTTCCCTGGCTTTCCGGGAAATGCTTGGGTGAGTCAGGGCCAGCAGCCCTAGGAGCCTGCGGTCCCTGGGGCTTCTTCGCTCCAGTGTCTGCTTCCCCCTTTCAAGATGGCACCTCGAGAATGTGGTGAGCGTCCTGACCTGGGAAGGGAGGCTGTGTGGGTTACTCTGGGGCTGGATTTGTGTCTCTGGAGCTGCAACTTCTGTGCTGTTTTTGCTTCCTTCCTTGGACTCCGTACCCGCTCGGTGGCTCCTGCTTCTACAAGTAGCCACAGCCCTGAAAAGAATCAGAAGAACAGCCATTTTGATGTGTGATCTTTTAAAGTTCAGTTCTTCCCATCTGCTCGGTGCTGCCTTGTCCTTGACCCTTAACGCATAGCTTTTCAGTCTTTGACACAGATTCTATAAAGCCTGCACTGAGATTTTCTAAGTAATTAATACTCAAGCAAGCTTGAGCCCCTTGTTGAAGGCTCAGCAGGCATTTTTTTACTCTCTACCTCCCCCTGCTGCTAAGAGGATGGTAACGCAGAAGCGCTCTATAGTCGGTGTGGCTCCAGGTTCTTTGAAGGAACAAGTTCATGCTGTCCTTACCTAACAGAGAAAACAGACTCCGTGCTTTCTGTGAACCCCAAACCTCCCGAGACAGCCCCATTTCCTCACTAACTCTTCACTTCAAAGCCCTCTTCTCTCAAGCTTGTCCCACGCTCTAAACCCTCCTGGTAATTTCTAGAAGTTGCCAATTAAATGGCATCTCAGACTTAGATTTCCTAAGCATCCCTACAATCTCTCAGTCTGTACAATTATCTCAGCCAGTCTTCTCACCTGTAGGGTAAGGGCCTCAACGCCACGTGCATAAAACGCCTATGAGGTTATGAAGCAGCCCGAGCTAGAGAGCAGCTGCTGGAGGCTAATTTCTTGCCTGGTGTGGCCTTTTAACCAATTACCTGCTCAGGTTCAGCCTCACTGGGCTCACTCCGTCTCAGTTATTTGGCACAAAAGCTCCGTGCAGGGCCTCCCGGTGTGAGCACTGTGGGTGATTCAGAATTTGACACTTGCCAGGGTGGTGGGGGCACAGCCTTTAATCCCAGCTCTTGGATGCAGAGGCAGGCAGATCTCTATGAGTTCCAGGCCAGACTGGTCTACAAGAGCTAGTTCCAGGACAGGCGCCAATGCTACAGAGAAACCCTGTGTGTGTGGGGGGGGGGGGGGTAACACCCAATTAAAAACATGAACAAAAACCTTGGTTTGAATAGCCAACACAGACTTGGTAAAGATGGAAAAACTGGTTTTCTGTTCATAAAAATCATGATGTCCCCTGCCCTCTTGTATGAATCTGCAGGAGAAACCAGAATCCTGCTGGGGACTTGAAGGTGTAAAGACGTCACATCCCAGCCTTCCTGTCACCGGTTCTCAACTGTCAGTCAGCCCAGGCCTCGTGGGTAGGCTGCCTGTGGCCGTACCGCCAACCCCTTCACCTTCTTGGCCCACTCGTGCCTCTCCCCAGACCACACTCCCTCCAGTAACACCGCTCCCCTCCCCTCACAGCCTCATCCGGCCCGTGTGCCAAGCTTACATGTCCTTACCCATCACTTCATCCCATCACCAAGAATACTAAGTAGATATTGGTCCAAAGAAGACACTTTGGTTTATACTCCGCAACATTAATATTTTCAACATTCTCTCTTCCTCCATAACTGAAAGAATAAGATTTACCCATCTTATAATCCGGTAACCTATGGGATTGCAGTCAGAAGATGGAGCTAACTGGCCCCATATTCCCAATTATCCTAATGGCATTTCACCCTCGGGCAATTAGCAACTCTAGGCACCTGTCCAAAGGTACTAATGTCTAGTTCAGCGTGACCTGGCACACGGTACCCGACTCCTGGCCATGACTACTTCATTCTCGGCAGGAGTTAGCAATCAACAAATTAAAAGGCGATTTTGCTCTCAATATCCCTCCCAGGTGTGAGAGAGCCAAGCAGAAAGGCTTTCCTCCCGGAGCTGCTCAACTGCACCACTAGGGGGGGTCAAACGCTGCCGGTATGGAAGGAGTCTTTTCCCCCAGAAAAATGATTTGGCTTCACAGCCCTGCCTTGCTACGGCCATAGTAGTGCACAGAGTGCTGAGACCCTTTGAAAGACAGCAGTTGCCCCTCCCTCTTCTGAGTCAATCAAGCTGGCCTGTTCACAACCTTTCTTGAACAGTTGCTCCGTGCGAGGGAAAAGCTCAGAGGTCTCTCCGATTTCTGTGTCCTAGTTTCTGTCTCCTGAGCCGGTGTCACCAATGCCTCCGTTATCATCTAATCTAGTCCTGCAGACAGAGTTTACCGGCGAGAAAGCACCGTGGAGAGATTCCTAAGGAAAGGTCACAACCCGCGGAGGGAGAAAACAGCCCTCCCTCCGCTGACAGAGCAGTGCGGCGCCCCTCCCACGGCCCAGAGAGAGCTGCTCCGCTCTGCGGGAAACACGGGGCCTTGCTCTGTAAAAGCTCAGATTAGCAGCCGTGTGCTGCCTCGCGGAGTCCAAGGTAACAAGCTGCAGCCTTCCCGTTGGGAACCCCTTGCTGCGCACAGGGCATTGCTGACTGCAGGCTCTTGTTCCCATTCCATACACAAACAGCTCAGCTCTCAAAAATCTCTCCAATGGGAACCATTCCTGTAAATGGCCCGAGTACCTCCCGTGGGCTTTAGGAATGCGGTTGATGCTTAAAGCCTAAGTAGGCAGGAACTCCATTTTATAGGTGAAAAATAGGCTCAGGCAACTTGACTGCCATACCAGACTGTATGTTAGATTATACAGAAAGTCGGTACCACCGCTGGGTTTTGAGCTAGAGACCAAACCTTGCACCAGATCTCTACCGGTTACACACACTAACACTGCCGAGGTCACGTGTCTAAGGAGTATGCGGTTTGGAGTACTACACGGCCCTTTCTAATACGAGGGTCTGAAATGAATATTCTGAGAAAGGGGATGCAAGTGCCAGCTAGTATCCCCACACAGCTCTAAATGGGATTCAAGTGCGTGCCAGTACACCCGCCCAGCTCTAAACACATCTTAGTAGAAATATGCCATCCAAGTGATTGTTTTTAGACTGCATATATTTAAGCATGCATAACTTTTATTTCAGCGCCTTCCCGCGAGCTGCTCTCATTTGAAGGAAGGGAGACCCACTGGGCTGTGTAGCCTACGGCCCCTATCTATTGAAAAGTTGTTACCATTGTGGTCTTTTTTTTTAAAAAAATATTTATTTATTATGCGTACAATATTCTGTCTGTGTGTGTGTCTGCAAGAAGAGACCAAACCTCATTACAGATGGTTGTGAGCCACCATGTGGTTGCTGGGAATTGAACTCATGACCTTTGGAAGAGCAGGCAATGCTCTTAACCGCTGAGCCATCTCTCCAGCCCCTACCATTGTGGTCTTGCTCCCAGTTTGGGTTTTATTGTAGACAAAGTTACAGATTTAGTCCCACTCCCGCAAGCTCTGATTTATTATAGGAAAATGCTGGCAGGCATCTCAGACTTGCAAAATGAATTCCTCACACAGTTCTGCTACACTGCCCCTCTGTTGTGGACTTAGCTCCTTGGAGCATGAGGAGGAGGGGCGAGCTACACCGTCCTTATTGAATTCATCCCTTGTTCCAGATAAGAAGCTGTGGTCTGAGCTGTAAGCCCAGCTCTGCCCCTGGCTGACTGCACGGCTGAGCACAGAGAAAGGCAAGGCCCAAGCTCTCCCGTCCACTGCCGTACAGGCCTGACTCTCTTGGTTCTCCTTGTGCTCTTCAGATTGCTCGCCCTCTGAGACATTATGCACGTGAAACCTCCACAAATCAAGTCGCTCAACTGCCTCCAAAGCTCGCTCACACTGACGGACTGCCTGCCATTTTGGGGCCCCCACCCACAGGCACTGAGATCTGCTAATGGAAAGATGACTTCCTGTGGCTCAATCATACAAACTGTTTTCTTCCTCCCTGAGAAGGAACCCGGCCCTTCCTTTCCCTTTGCTCCCTCTTTGGTAACGGCGGGTGTCTGAGAAGAGCTGAGGGGTTTTGCAAAGCTGGAAA